CGTTAACTGGAATGTTGAGACTAATTATTGGCCGAGGAATAATTAAATCAAAACTGTGCAAAAGAAATATTTTACATTTAAGATGAAATCCGTCTGTAGATCTGTGTGACCCACAACTCCTGAAAAGGTGCTGGAAAAGAAAAATAGATCAATAAAAATCATGCAAACTTTACTCTCAAAATTTGACTTTAAAACTTAAAACTTTTTTTCTCATAATTTTAACCTTTTCCTCCAAAATTCTGACTTTTATTTCATAATTTTGACTTTTTAATCTTAAATTCTTCATTCTTTGCTGTTTGTCTCATAATAGTCTAAATGGGGAGTCTGAGCCGTCTTCAGGCATTTCCTCAGGCTGATCTTTGCGCTGCGTGTTCTCAGGAGTGCCCCCCTGGTGGCGGCCTCAGGGCTGCGTCCCGGCCGGAGCGTCCTCCTCCGGGTTTCGACGGCTGCATCCACAACGTTCGGATCAACGGAGAGATGCAGGACCTGACCTTCAGAACCACAGCAGAAGCGCCTGGCCAGGTGAGACTGAGCGCCGACATCATTGGGGTCTGACCTCTGACCTCTGTTTAACTCCACCCATCACTGATGTGGATTCTGACTTCAACCTCAGAATTAAAACGTTTCACAAAATGTTGACATTAATCTCAAACTTTGACTTAATTTAAGACAGAATTAATTTAATATATGAATTTGTATTTTAATATATTTTAATATTAGAATTAAAAAACTTAAGTTTTTGACATCAAAATCATTTTTTACTTTTTTCTCAGAATTTTAACAGTTTTTGTTAAAATTCTGATTTTTGCCTGGTGACCAGTTGTTGCTTGTAAATAGTTGACTGAAGCGTTTGTCCAGGGCCCGGCGGTTCTGGTCGGGTGCCACGCCTGCAGTGTGTGCGCAACTGGAGCCTGCAGGGAGGGAGGTCAGACCGGGGTCACCTGCAGCTGCCCTCCGGGTCGGATGGGGGCGCTGTGCGACGAGACGGCGGCCAGCGACCCCTGTCAGAACATCAGGTGAGCCGGTCGGGTCCGGTCCGGTCGGGTCGGGTCGGGTCGGGTCGGTTTCTTCTAAATCCAAACGTGACTGAATGAGAAAAAGTTTGGGCAGAATATTTAGCATCCTCTCTGTCTTAAAGGGCCGGTATCATCTTTCCATCATGTTGCATTCTTTCATCAGAAACAAACATGGAGTTTTGTTTTGGTTCCTTCATACTTGTTCCTTTAAACGCCTGGGTGGCCCTAGCCCCGCCTCCAGGGTGCAGCTCCTCCCCTACTCAGCTCCTGCAGACTATCCAGCAACAATTAGAGTCAGCTGAGCTGCTGCTCAGAGCAGAGCTGGTAAAAAACATTAAAGGGTTAACAGAGGAGCCATGTTGGGACGACTTCATGGAGGCGGAGCTTCAGGAAGAGTTTTCAATTTGAAGAAATAAAAACAGGAAGTAACATTTATTTGAAGCCATTTTTGATACATTTAGCATTTTTATAACAACTGGAAAAACCTTTAAATCAGCAGTTAGCAGGTGACTCTGACCCCTCCAGGTGTGTCCATGGTACCTGCGTTGCCACGGCGCAGGCCTACAGCTGCCGCTGCGCCGACGGCTACCAAGGCCCGTCCTGCGACCGGGCCCGCCTGCGGCTGCGTCCACGGAGAGTGCCGGACCTCGAGTCCGGGGTTCTGGTCTGCCACTGCGAGCCGGGCTTCACCGGACCCGCCTGCAACACAGGTAAGACGGGCGCCCGCCGACCTTCGACCTCGCCGACTCTCTGACCCCGCGCCTCACCGCCTGCCCCTCCCCCGCCGCAGAGCTGCGCTGCCAGGGCGAGACGTTGCGGGAGCAGCTGAAGCGGCACCAGGCCATGCGGACCTGCACCTCCACCAGCAGGGTGCCGCGCGTGGCGTGTCCCCGGTCCTGCCAGGCGGCGGCGCCGCCCGGCGTCTGCTGCGGCGTCACCAAGACGCGCCGGCGGAAGGTGGCGTTCCGCTGCACGACGGGTCGTCGTACTCAGAGGAGCTGGAGACGGCCCTGGAGTGCGGCTGCGGCCGGTGCCCACTGTAGTCCCCGCCCACCAGCTGTAGGCCCCGCCCCAGCTGTAGGCCCCGCCCACCAGCTGTAGGCCCCGCCCACCATCTGTAGGCCCCGCCCATCAGAGGAGCGGCCCTGGACGAGCAGAACAGACACTCAGAGAAAATATATTGTAAAATATATGTGAGAAACATAGAACTTATTTTTATTATGGATTTTTCTAAGATGATAAAAAGACTGATAAGTTGTTTTTAATGTTTCATAGTATAAAAATATTTTCTACCTTTGTAATAAACTAGATTAACATTCCTTAAAGTATCTGAATTTAAAAGTTTTAATGTAAATCTTTATAAATATTTCCTCTAACCAAGCGATTCTGATGTATTCGGCGTATTAGCATGACGTTAATGTGAGAAGAGGCTCCGCCCACCAGGACTCGGACCGCAGCGCCAACAGGTCAAACCAGGTGTCTCCTTCACACTGGAGCCCTCTGACCTCTGACCTCAGCTGCAGTCCAGTCTCCTCCAATTTCTCTCGAGACTCGTTTCTTCTGCATTTTTTCCTTCCACTCAACTTTCTATGAGCATCTTCCTCTGAGGGTTGAGCCGAGGTCTTGCATCAGATCCGGTTTTTATCGTATTAATAGATGAATTATTGGAGTTCAATCAGAGATTCCTCCTCAGGGATCCGGCAGGTCCGCCCGACCAGAACCACCTGCCTTATCGCCATGGAAACCAGCTCTTCTTCTGTGCCTTTCTGGAGTCAGATGTTTTCTGTCCAGCTGCTGTGGACGGTTGGATGTTTCGAGGTTCTGCCGACCCGGACCGGACTGAACCGGCCCGGCGGTTCTGAAACTGATCCAGCAGCGTAACGATGAATGTGAAATTGTTTGGGATCAACTCCTCTTTCTCCTCTTCCTCCTCCTCTTCCTCGGTGCAACGCCACAGAAAACAAAATGGAGTCTGTTGGAAACTTAGATTCACAATTTGAAATTTTTTTTTTCCATTTTTGTTTCTGCTGCTTCTAAAATTGACAAAACGCTAAAAAAAAACAACAGTGTTGTTGTTGTTGTTGTTGTTTAAGTTTTTTAGTGTCTTGAAATGAGCCAATCGCAGGCACTGCCCTGTTACCTAGCAACCAGAGCAGCGCTGATAGCGGCTGGTTTTATTTTATTTATGCAGGTTGTAAAAACACGACATCAAAACAAACCGTTCAGAAATTTGACTTGTATAATTAAGCCGATAAAATATGAGCTAAAACCAAAATAAAGTTTAAAATCACACTCTTGTTAATTGTGAGGAGGCTCTACTTCTGCTTTTCAAAGATGTTCGGTGCTTTGCAGCCCATTTTCAGCTGAGGGTAAACTTTGTTGGGGGCGTGGCCAGCAGCAGCTTATTTGGATTTAAAGTGACAGTGCCCTAAAACAGCTCATAAAGAAAATGACCTAAGAATTATTTTGTGCAAAAAATAAAAGGAACATGTTTTGTGTAGACCACAGGCTGCCCCTCCTCTGCCCGGGTGGAGAGCCAAACACCAGCAGCTCCTGTCATGACTCCTCCTCTTCCTCCACTGGACAGCAGCTTCATACAGGAAGTGTAATGGGGCGGCCATCTTGGAACTACTGGAATGTTTTTAGTTTTGATTACATCAAACATTCAGCGACTAGACCTGCAGCACTTCTTCCTTCTTCTGCCCCTCCAGGAGTCCCAGACACCATGTGACTCCTCCCACTCTCACTCCTCCCACTCTCACTCCTCCCACTCTCACTCCCACCATCCTGTCCCGCCTGTTAAGGTTCATTGTGAACAGAATAAACCTCAGCTACTAGTTATTGACAGTAACTAAACTGATCTGTACTCTCACCTGTAAAGGTCGTAGGTTACATTTAATAAATTATGTGATTATAACTGATGGTTTAATTGAATGTTGGAATTAAACGTCTATTGAAACCAGTGAAGTCAAAATGCAGTTTGTTGATCCCTGAAGGAGGAAGTTGCTCTGGCTGGAAATGTTTTGTTCAGAACTGGATGAATTTTTATGAAATTCACACTTTTTTCAGATTTTGCTGAGTTTAAAGTTCAATGTGGTTTTTCACTGCCAGGCCAGTAGAGGTCACTAATGAGGCCACAAAGTCACATGTCTAACTGCACCAGCTAATGCTAACATTTTCCTGTACTATTGGCAGAGCCAGCATATTCATGGTAGTTGTTAGCCTGTACAAGGCTAATGACACCATATCTACTGCCAATGCTAAGCTATCCATGCTAATGGCCAACAGAGAAAAAAGACAGTCCAGTTGCTGTCCAGCCTCTCCAAAGCTAATGCTAGCTCGTGCGCTCCTCATGTGGTTGCTAAGTTACCATTGACTATCAGCAAACAGATCAGTACCTTCTCATGCCTTATTCTCCCTGTGTTAAGGAAGTAGCCATTGGTGGACCAGAGTCTTAATTTTGGCACTTAAGCTGTTCCATACACATCTCAAAGGTGAGCTGTGAGTCAAACTGTCTTCCTGTCCCAAACGTATTTGTCTTCAAAGGACCGACCTTTGCCCTTCAGATGACCTGCTGAGCGTCGGCAAGTTGTGTTGCTGTTTCCTTCCTCTCGATTTTCATCCTGATGATTCAGTTTTAGCTGAAAACCTGAAGACATTATTCATTTTACTGAAGCGCCGATGTCACAGTTGCTGCTGATTGGTTCGTTGGCGTTGTGACGTCATAACTGAAGTTTAAAAGCTTTCTGAAAGTCGTTTCTAAAGATTTGCTTTTCAATTGTTTTCTTTGGCGCCATCTGGTGGCCAAATGTCAGAAGTACAGCTTTGAGCTTCTCTACCTGCAGAACCAGAACCAACCAATGATTCACCTGCCTGATTTCTATTGGGATCCAACTTGAGGCTCGGGGGCCGTTTATGGTACCAGATTGCAGTTCTAGGAGCCACAGGAGACTTTTTATTATATAATATAATCTCAACTAAATATTATTTTAATGAAGCTTTTTATTCATTGGCAGATTTATTCTCATGGTAAGAGATAGTGAAGTTAAGCAGAAAAAGCAGACAGTAAATGATTCATGTCAACGTTTTCTGAGTCCAAGTCCCAGTTTTTACCTAAAGAGTGGAGGTTCTATCAGAACCAAGCAGAACCGACCAGAACTTGGCTATAATGATTGAAGTTCAGAGAGACAAGCGAGTCATGAATGAAGAAACGGCGCGGTTCTGTTTAATGACCCGTTTTCATTTTCACAGCAGTTGGGAAAAGCTTTCGGAACCGGATCAGAAACACACAGCAGACCCTCGTCCTCTCCGGATCAGAACAGGGCGTGGCCAAGCGCCTGCAGCAGGTCCAACTCCAGGTAAACCCGGCAGAACGACAGGAAGACGCCGACGGCCGAGAACCCGATCAGAGCCCACAGAACCCGAGCGCTGAAGTAGAGCGGAGCCAAACTGAAAGAGAGCAGACCAGAACTTTAACAGAACCTGAACAGAACTGTCTTCATGGATCTGTTTCTGCTGGGAAACATCTGGTTCTGATCCAAACCAGCAGCAGGTTCTAATAGTTTCATTGAGTTTTTGTCTCTTACAAAAACAGTTTTTAGGGCATTTTCTAGTTATTAGTGTTAGTTTTAATACTTTGGTTCATTTTTAAGTGCAGAGACTCAAAAAGATCAAAGAAGTGTGATTACATTTACGTTATTTCCACAAAATGTTTTAAATGATTGTTGACCAATCAGCAGATTGGAGAATTATCTGAACCTTTGTTGTGTTGCCGCCCAGCGCCACCAGGGGTCGCCAGGCGCGCCTCTATTTGCCAATAAACAAAATAAACTGTGGGACAATTTCACATCAGTTTGAAAAGCTAATAGATTTAAAACACAAAAGCAACTTTCATTAAATCTGTTGCTGCAGTGTGATTTAGTTTTTCCTCAATAGAACTGTTTTTATTTCAGTTTCTGTTATTTCATTATTTTTAGACATTATAATAACTATAACAACCTCAGCCATAAGTTTATCAGCTAAATATTTTCATCTAGAGTGATTAAATATTAAAGTTCAGCTGCAGAACCAGAACCACCGAATCCGACCCAAAGCGCCTACCGTCCCTGAGCCGACTGGGCGTAGCCCCAGAAGTAACACAGCCGTCCATAAAGGTAGAGCAGGCCGCAGAGGCTGGACAGGCCTGCAACACACACACACAAGCACATGGACACACACACACACACACACACACACACACACACACACACTCTTAGAGAAGTCCTAACAGGTAAGTGGGCCAGGTTCTCGCGGCCGGCGGCTCACCTTGGCTGAAGAAGACTCCGGACATCCACAGGATGGTGATGAAGATGGGGAAGTACTCTGAACAATTCGCTCTGAAACATTGACAGGAAGTCACCATCAGGGGACGCCAGAGAGCCTCTAACCACCAACACAGAGCAACTTCCTGCAGGTGGGAAAAAACTACCAAGAGCTTTGCAGATCAAGAAAAGCAATACATCGTCAAAATAATTCCCAGAAAAAACATTTACTTTTATTTTCCTAGCAAATGTTTATGTAGTTATTGTTACATGGGGCGGCCAGCAGGTGTCACTGTTGTGCTCTGTTCAGCTTCTGTTGATCAAACTCGCTGACATAACGGACAAAGATGGAGGCCACTTTTTATTTTCAAATAAACACTGAAAATATTTATTTCTCTAGTCATCTTTTGTTTTAATTTCTCCAATAATAAAGAGACAATCAAGCCAAAGCAGACTAATTTGGAAATCACTGTTGATCATCAGAAACATTAAGAGGGTTTTGAAGAGTTGAGGCATGAAATGACAAAAGAATATTATTAGAAAGTTTATGCTTTTATTGCTTTTGCAGTTTTTTATATTTGGAAACAAAGGTTGGGCAGCACATGTTGATTTCAGCCAAGTGTGATCAATACAAACAGACATTGTTAATAAAAGAAACAATTTGTCAAGTACCTGAATAAATAATCAGTTCATACAAACATACACTCATATAAAACCCCACAGCCAGAAAAAATGTTATTCTTGATTACTGTATTGTTATAGTAAATGTTTAAATTATTTTTAACTTTAGCAATTTTACTGTTATTTTTTTAATTCATATCATTTTTCTGTTTCTTTTATTTAAAATAATAGTTATCATTATCTGATCTCAATCTGATCTGGTCCATTTTTCCTCCAGAACTGTGTTTAGTCATTTCAGGTCTATATGTTATAAAACCAAACGAAACCTGTTCATGTAAAGGTCAAAGGTCACACTAACGGTGGAAAAATACCCTGGTATTTAAAATGAAAAAAAAAAATTCTCATCATAATAAGAACGTTTTTATAATTAGAATAATAAAGTTCATATTATGAACTTTCAGTTATAAATTTTTTAAAGTTATTTTAAAATTATTTAATATATTTTTTTTATTTCTGAACGTCTAAAGAGGCCAATAGCATTCTATTGGAATTTGGCTCAAAGGCGCCCCCTCCATTGTTCCAACAGTTGGATCTCCCTGATTCATCAGCCTGTAGATTGAAACTTTATCCACTAATATTTCATAACCACACATGACGCGTATCAAACCCTACAGGAAGTCCTTGCCAATCCTTCCCACAAAACAGGAAGTGACAGTAAATCCTTTTTGGAAGATCAGCTTTCACCAAACTTTTAAGACATGCTGCTGGACTCACATTGGACTGAAGGTTAAATGGAAGGTGTACTAAAAGCGCTGCCTGGTGGATGGGTGTGGGAACGGCGTGAAAGAGTGCATGGTGGGATGGGCACAGGGCCGGAGCGACACTGTTCTACGAGGGACATACCTGGCTGCTTGGAGCTTTAATTATTATTTTTATTAGTAGTATTTTCTTTTTCCTCTTTCTTTTTTCATCAAATTATCAAGTTGTATCGTTTAATAGCATTTTGGTGCAGTTTCAAACTGCTCTATGAATAAATTTGACATTGCTGGGACTTTACACCGACTTTCATTCATTTTCCACAGCCTGACCCAAAAACAGTGTTTCCCTCATGCGGACTAGGATTTGTCCCCACAAGGAGCAGAGGTCCCCACTACCCCAAAATGTAGACAAGTAGGTCCCCACAAGGAAGTAAAAACCTGGTTCCCACACTCACACTCACACACGCACACACAGAGAGGTACTGACTGGGCTCTGAAGATACGCTCGAACTCCGGCGGTCCGTTAATGCAGGGCGGAGACACCGAATACTTCCTCCTGGCATAAATGACCTGCAGGGAAAAATAAGCTGTGCACACACACACACACACACACACACACACACACACACACACACACACACACCATCATCATCCTCGCCTTCATCAGACTGATTTTCATACAAGTTTATTTTCCGGGTCGGTTCCGACCGGACTGTGGGAACATTGGAGGTCCGCTGTGTCAACACTGAATGCAAATTAATTAATAAAAGCTTCAGACAAATAAACTGTTTATCACCAAGACTTCAGAGTTGAGGACAGCAGAGGAAAGCTGAACCGGACCCAGTTCCTGGTTCTTACCTTGCTCCAGAACTCCCAGTACGGTCACAGCGCCGAGTCCGACTGCCTCATCCAGCATGGCTGCAGGCCGACAGGTGAGACTGAGGCTGGGACCAGGGGGAGAGAATACACCTGCAGGGGGCGGGGCCATACCTGCAGGGGGCGGGCCCATATCCGCAGGGGGCGGGGCCACGAAACAGAAAATAAGAGAAACTGGAAAGAGATGGAGCTAAAAAGTGAAAAAGAATTAAATTCACTAAAATAAAAAAATTAACTCTTAAAGTTGGAAGTAAATTGGTAGCAGAGACATTCCTGCCACTCTTGGATTTCGGAGATGTTTTATATATGAATGCCTCGACCAAATGTCTTCAGTCACTGAACACTGTGCGTCATTATGCTTTAAGGTTTATAACTGGTACTAGATGTTTTACACATCATTGTGATTTGTATGCGAAAGCTGAATTGCCTCCTTTTAGCGAATGGAGAAACAATCATTTAATGATCCTGGTTTATAAATCTCCACTCGGCCGGCCTCCAGCATTTTAAACTCTCTAACAGAGATCTGTTAGTTCTCATTCTTTATGCTCGAATGTTATTCTTCTGCATGTTCAACGTGTTTGACCTGAAAAAGGGAAGCAAGTATTCAGTGTGTTGCTCCTACAGCCTGGAATCAACTCCAGTCTAAACTCAAGATGTTGGAAATGATTTCATTGGATTTATTTCAATCGGTTCTTAAAGAAAGGCAACAAGAGTCTGTGAAACAGTGTCACTGCTTTTAACTTATTATTGTTTTATACTTGTGAATATTATTAATTGGTTTTAGTTTGTAACCAGCTTGCTGTGTGTTGCAGACTTTCTGCCCAGGTCCCTCTTGAAAATGAGATTCAGATCTCAACGGGGTTAACTGGTTAAATAAAGGCAATAAAAAATAAATATATCTCATTATAGTATCTCAAAATGTCGAGATTTTTCTATCATTTCTTTTACCAGAATGGCAGAAGCAGGCTTCCGTAGAGGTCAGAGGGGAAAAGAGAAACTCTTGCAGTGGGCGGAGCCAAATAAAAATGGTTCCTGCAGCTGATTGGACGGAACACGACGTTCAATCCGAACAGTAACTTTATAGGATGAAATATTGCTGATGATTTCAGTCGCTGCCATTTATTTAACTTCAACTCGCGGTTCACAACTGAACATGTCATTTTCCTAACTTCCAATTTTTTAAAAGTATCTCATTTCTTCATTTCCTCCTTCCTCTGGCCTAGCAAACACCCAGAATGCATTGCGGCGTAAACGGCCTCCGTGAAAATAATTTATAAAAACGCTACAGTATTTTTAAAATGCATTTACATTGTTTAAGTGTTCACAGTAGTTTCTACTAATAGGTTACATTTCAAATTAAAAGCATCAACATTAATCACTATTTTAATCACTGTCAGTTTTTATTGCGGCGCTTCAAATTTAACTTAAAAATATTTACAAATGGCAGCTGAAATAATGCGAACCTGACATTGTTAAAAAGTGAACATAGAAATATTTAAAATATTGAGACAAAAGATGAAACTTTATTTTACTTCCACTGAGATTTGCTGCTTTTCTTCTTGTTTCTTTCAGAGCTGAATCATGATGACAGATAAGAACCAAACCAAGCCCAGATTTGTTTCTAGAGAACTATATTTACATAATACTCTTGTTTTACAGAGAACCATATCAAAAGTATAAAATACTTACAAAATTCAGCTGCAATATATAAAAATAACTTCTATCTTCTCCAAATCATTAGGAAAGGTTTACATAACAAAAATATATTTATAGACATTTACAGAGAGCCGTTTGGGCCCAGAGGCTGCAGAACCGAGCCCTGCACGGGAAACCCAAACCCAACCAGACACAGTACAGTAGATAATCCCACGCTGTCGGGGTCAGAGGTCAGAACCGACCAGAACAGAACCGGAAACGTTCAGAGGCGATACTGGCCGTCCAAACACTGCGATCTGGATCAGAACCGCTTCACTTCCTGACCTGAACCTGCAGCATATTAACACATTTACTGGGTTTTACTGCTGGATTAGACGCTGAAGGTCAGATTATAATCCGTGGCCTGGCAGACCAGATTCTGGGTTCAAGCCGCATTTCCTGCAGAGCTTCATTAATGCAGAGTGATCGCCACAGAAACATCCAGAAAGGAGCAGCTTTGCATAAACAGAACCAACTGTTGTTGTTTCCATAAATTTCCTACAGTATGAAAATGAAGCCTGGAGGAGGAGGAACAAGATGGCCGCCGCAGGGCGGAGGAGCAGTGCAGTGGTTCAGTAGTACTCTTCATCAGATTCACGCCTGCCAGAACCAGGAAGCACCAACATCCAAGAACAGGAAGTCATCCTGGGAACGGGTCCTGGACCTCTGATGTCAGGAGCTGGGATTGGACAGGAAGTGGATCAAACTTCTGGGGTGCCTGGTGAAAGACCCGGGTCGGGTTCTGGATGGATCTGAGGTTCTGACGAGTCGATGATGTCATCAGCAGGGATCAATGAATACGTCATGAATCTGATTCAGACCCAATAACTGATCAACGGGAAGGCAGACAAACGAGTTCTGTTCTCCAATCAGATCCAACGAAACATTGGACCTGCAATCATTCTGATTGGTTACCAGAGTGAACCAATCAGAGAGCAGAACCAGAGTCTGGCTGGTTCTGCTCTCTGATTGGTCCATCTGCTGTGACATCAGAACATCTCTGACCTCCATGTTGGTTTTTCCAAACCGAAACGTGGACCAGAAGGGGCGTGGCTTTCAGAACAGGAAGTGATGTAACCTAAACCTTTAATGCCGTTTGTCCAGTCAAGAGCTGGAGTCACATGATGGTGCTGGTCCGGTCCGATTCTACCAGCAGAATCGCTCCATTGCTGGTCACAGTTCAGAGGTCAGAACCAACCGACTGTCAGCCGGTAAACAAACCGCCGCCCACTCCTCGTCAGAACCAGATCCAGAACCAGAACCAGAACCGGGTCAGGACCAGGCCTATGTGTGTCCGGCCAGCAGCTCGTCCAGGTCGGCCATCCACTCCTGCGTGCTCTGGCCCTTCAGCAGCGAGTCGACCAGCTCGCTCTCGGCGGCGAAGCTTCCCGCTGCTGCGTTGTATCCGAACGACAGCTGCTGCTGCTGCTGCTGCTGCAGCTGCTGCAACTGCTGCAGCTGCTGCTGGCCGCCGCCGCGGCTCACCTGGTAACCTTGGTTACACGGCAGCGCCTGGCGCCCGCCAGCCTGCGGCGCTCCGTACGCCACCAGGTCCGGCAGCACCGGCCCGCTCTGATTGGCCGGCTGATGCTGAGTCTGAGCGGCCGGCGGCGCCCTCTGCTGGGCGGCCATGTTAGTCTGCATCATCTGCTGGTTGAGGCCCGGCACCACAGTGCGCCCACCGAAGGAGGCGGAGCCGGCGGCCATCTTGGGGATGCGTGGCTGCTGCATGTGAAAGGCGTTGGCGGCAAAGGCGTTGGCATGCATCGCCGCGGCGCTGGCCGGCTGCTGCTGCCAGGCGGCGCCCGCCATGGCTCCGCCCATCCCGCCCGCCTGCATGCGCGTGGCGGCCAGCTGCTGCTGCTGCTGCTGCTGCTTCAGCATGGTGGCGCCGGGCGGCTTGAGGAGCTGCTGCTGCGGCAGCTGCCTGTAGGGGGCACCCATGGGGCCCAGCGGCTGGCGCTGCTGGCTGGGGTGAAGGGTCATGCCGCTGTACAGCGAGTCCACGCTGGCTCCGCCCCCTCCACAAGACGGCAGGCTGATGTCAGCCTGACTGGCTGCAGGGGGCGCAGCCACGCCGCCACTGGGCCCCGCCCCCTGCGCAATGCTCATTCCCATCATGCCTTGGTTCTGGGGAAACTTGCGGGCGCCGGTGGCGGGGCTTCCCATGGAGCCCATGTTGCTGATTGGCTGAGAGGAACCTGAGAAAAAAAAAAAAAAAAAAAAAAAAAAAAAAAAAAAGAAATCAGTCTAAACTAAATATTTTACAGTTTATGGAAACAGGATCAGTAAGTAATTTGTAATCCAAACTGTTCTGGTCCAGAGACCAGACTTGGTCCGGTTCTGGGAGGCTCAGCGAGGAACCAATCAGAACCTGACCCGGTTTTAATGAGCCGTCTGCAACCTGCAGAACCGACCGACTGGAGGAACAGAAATATATCATAGCCAAGTTAAAATAAACTTTGAGCTGCCATGTTGCGCCGTTACGTTACGTGACGTTATGTGACGTTGCGTGACGTTGCGAGACGTGACGTGACGTTACGTGACGTTACGTGACGTTACGTGACGTTACGTGACGTTGCGTGACGTTGCGTGACGTTACGTTGCGTGACGTTACGTGACGTGACGTTGCGTGACGTTACGTTGCGTGACGTTGCGTGACGTGACGTTGCGTGACGTTGCGTTGCGTGACGTTGCGTGACGTTGCGTGACGTTGCGTGACGTTGCGTGACGTTGCGTGACGTTGCGTGACGTTGCGTGACGTTGCGTGACGTTGCGAGACGTGACGTTGCGTTACGTGACGTTGCGTTACGTGACGTTTGCGTTACGTGACGTTGCGTGACGTTACGTTGCGTGACGTTACGTTGCGTGACGTTACGTGACGTTACGTGACGTTACGTGACGTTGCGTGACGTTGCGTGACGTTACGTTGCGTGACGTTACGTGACGTGACGTTACGTGACGTTGCGTGACGTTACGTTGCGTGACGTTGCGTTGCGTGACGTGACGTTGCGTGACGTGACGTTGCGTGACGTTGCGAGACGTGACGTTGCGTTGCGTGACGTTGCGAGACGTGACGTTGCGTTACGTTACATGACGTTACGTGACGTTGCGTTGCATGACGTTACGTGACGTTGCGTGACGTTACGTGACGTTGCGTGACGTTGCGTGACGTTACGTGACGTTACGTGACGTTACGTGACGTTGCGTGACGTTGCGTGACGTTACGTTGCGTGACGTGACGTTACGTGACGTTACGTTGCGTGACTTTGCGTTGCGTGACGTGACGTTGCGTTGCGTGACGTTGCGTGACGTTGCGTGACGTTGCGAGACGTGACGTTGCGTGACGTTGCGAGACGTGACGTTGCGAGACGTGACGTTGTGTTGTGTGACGTTGCGAGACG